GTCTTCCAACTTTGAACAAAATCAAGTGGTGTCAATAGTCTACTACTTTCGAAATCTTGCTTCAGTTACACAATGTTCTTAAATTCCGAACCATGGCGAGGTGTGACTTTCGAGAAGAAGGTTTCCAAAAATTGGCTGAACGGCTTCCTGAAGAGTAACCTCGCAATTTCAGCGTAATGGTATTAACAGGTTCTGTTTTTCAACTGTCGATTATTACCACAATAAAAAAAACTTGCTTCTTAGATAAATTTAAGGAGGCGTAAATCGAAAAAACTGTTTTTTTTAATTGATGTGATTTCCCATCTTCAAAGTTATAGCAAAATAAAACGAATTGGATGTACAATGACTTTGGGAGACTAAGAAGAGCTTTCTATCCATATACTTCTGGTCAAAACATAGTATATATGGATAAAGTTAGAAAAAAATTACGGTATGTAGAAGCCTACCACTTCTCTAAACGGCTTCTTTTGTAGTACCATTTCCACAATATTTTCCGATAGACTTGTTTTTCTGTCTTTCGATAGAGATTTTTGAACTATCATATCGGCTCATCTCACCCTTTACGAAATATAGTTGCATGCCTTAATACATGGAAGAAAAAGATGCATAAGTTGTTTCTGCTGGAACTTCGACAGCAAAGTGTAAGAAAAGAAAATAAGCTCCAAACTAACTTAAATGTTTGAAGTTTTATTTTCGAATAATAAGAAGACAATACCTGTCAGAGAAAAAAAAACATAGAAATTATACATGAGCAAGAATTGAACTCAATGTAAGAATCGCGACGATCAATTGGGTCAACTAGAATGTAGCAAATCACATCGGTTTACATGACTGAGGTTTTGCACATAACTGAATGGAAACACTAGCCAGTGATGGATGCGGTAAAAGTATGAATATGAGAAGACAGATTGCATGTAAAAGAGGGAAAATGCTCAAGGAAGCGTACAAAACGGAAAATTACGTACATAAGCAATAACTTCGCCCTGATGATGCTATGCAGTAACCCTGGATTGAACTTTGTTTTTGCCTAAGCATGCAGCAGCGTTTGGTGGTTACGGTATAGCGGAATTATTATAGAAACTCGTATATAATGCTTGGTACCTAATTTCATACAGATTTTAAACTAAGATCTAACCTAGAAGACTTTCAAGATTTCTATCAAATCACTACATTGGGCCTATAAAGCAAAACCCTGAGATAGCCTTAAGGACTATCATCAGAAAAGCTGCTCAGACAAAGCACTTGGAGAAAGAGAGTAGACAAGCGCTCATTTTCCTATCAGCCCTAGATTTCGTGCCTCTCGCTCTGCCCATTCTTGTAGGCTACGTTCATCTTCTATTGGGGATTCTTCTTCACCACAGACAGCATCAATGTAGAAAGATCCTAAAAAGCTTGTTTCAACGAGAACATTTATTCCGCTATTTGCCAAGCAAACAGTATAGACGCAAAGAATGTTTTCCACAGTAGGGATTTTGGTGCATTCTACT